AGATGTAAAAAGACAATGTTTTTTTTTAATATAAAAACTTGTACTTACAACGCAAGTGTGGGATACAGCCACCAAGAAAGCCTCAACTTTGCTCTTCGGCGAAAGGTAGAACGAGAGGTACGCAATATCCTTAGCGTCCTTTTGTTTTGATTGCCTGCAAAAAAAATTAAACAATGTAACAATAGATTAAACTTTTCAAACAGATAGAACAGATAGTAGTAATATGAAAATAGTCGATGGTCAACTTTCCTTGAAATAGAGAGAAAACAAGACTTAATGCCACTTAAAAATCATTACAATATTATTCTAAAACAAGACATATGACATAAAGCCAACTCAGCGTATGTTGGGACTGATTGCAATGACATAAATCATTTAATAACAAAAATATATTAAGAACATATTATATTGAATACTGGCTTAAGCCCGCGACTCCGTCCGCGTGGAATTAAAAAAATCAAAACTAAGTAGCCTGTGTTCTTCCAGACTATCCTCTACGTTTATGGCAAATTTCATCGAAATCCGTTCAGCCGTTTAGGCTACAAACTCTAACAAACATCCGTCCATCTAAACATGCGCATTTATGATATTAGTATGAAGTAAGAAGTATGATTAATTATTGTGTGTTATATAACGTTAATTTACGTGTGCAGCAGTGCGACGATGGCGCGCCAGACGTGGTGCGCGTGCGCGTGCGGCACGTACGCGAGCGCGGCGGCCAGGCAGCGCACCGCGCACGCGCCGCGCCCGCTCGCGCCGCACCACCACGCCGCGGACAGCGCGCCCGACCACGACCGCGGCTTCTGCACAACCACACCATACTCTATCACAACTCCCAACAAACACACCCATCAATACAACCACCAATCAATACAACAACCATACCAATCAATATAACAACCATAATTATTAATACTCACACTATACCAATTAATTAAAAACCATTTTTAAGACGGCTCTTAAATCGAATTCTGCGTTATGTATGCATACTGGCATACTTTTAATTCTCTTTTTTTTAAGTAAAAGACGGAGAGGTAGTGAATTTGACTGAAAGTGGAATGTATAGGAAAATAAATATCCTTGTTCTGTGTGTTCTTTCATTCTGTGTATTGTCAGCTATTGATTCACTATTTCAGGAAATTAGAATTGCCTACTCGTTTTTTCTGCCTTAAGGTATTAAAAAATCAACTATTAAAAATTTCACATAAGCGACTGATTTTTAATTATTGCATGTAAAACAAAAATTACATCAATACATGATACTATAAAAACGTGTAGCATTCCAACCTTTCTCTTATGATCCGACTAAAATTGCCATTTTATATGGGCAGATTGCCCAAAGGTCTAATATCAGAGTATTCTAGAACATGACAAGAAAGGCGGTAATATTACTTACATTTTCCAGATACTTGGATATCTTAGCGCCCAGCGTGACGTAGTCGAAGTAATTGAACATTTCAGCGAACTGGTGCATGAGCGTGAGCACGGGCTCCCAGTGGTCGGCGTCGACGCGCGTCACGCGCTCCAGGAAGTAGTCGCGCGCGGCGTCGCGCGGCACGCGGCACTCCGGCACCTTGTTGTGCGAGGGAGACAGCAATACTATGTCCGCTGGCAGGCTGCACGAAACCGTATATATTTTTTTACGCGGCACTTCAGCACCTTGTGCGAGGGAGACAGCAATACTATGTCCACTGTATGAAAGCGTGGATATTAATGTTTATTATTTTTTCTTTGATATTGTTGTTGGAAGTATTGTCATGTTTTTAATGAAAATTGAATAATCAAAACTCCATATATAACTTAAGAGTACTATAAAAACATACTCTAAATAGACAATATCAACAAATATTATAAAAATAGCACTATAAAAAAAACGAAACTGTTCATAAAAACTAGGATATTCTAGAAGAATGCGTGTGTACTTAGATGGGGTTTAATAAAAAAAATAATGAAATAATAAAAGAATATTTTAAACATACATCTTACCGCAAGTTAGGGTCAGAGAAGGGCTGCTTGAAGCTGACGATGTGCAGCCAGTAGCCCAGCTGCAGGTGGTGGTAGGTGCAGTCCTCCTCCTTCAGACCCATGTCTTCCGCCTCCACATCTCAAAACATCACATTTCATACTATCATCTTACTTCTTACTAATATTATAAATGCGAAAGTTTGGACAGATGTGTGTCTGTTAGAGTTTCTCTATACTAATAAAACGTTAACACACACTTCTTTGTTGCCTATGTCAGCAAGCACAGTATATTTTCGAATAACTCTTTTTTTAATAGAAAGCCCTACACTTACGTCACGGCTATATATTTTCACGCTATTGTGGGAAAGAGACAATAAGTTGTTGCCAACATCAAGGAAGCAAGGTTGCAATGGTTTGACATCATGTCATGTCATTTTGATATTTGCAATTGATAACTTGACAAATGTGAACAAGAAAATGATTTTTTTATAATTTTATGCGGATAAAGTCGCATAGGAACAGCTAGTAGGAAATATTTCTATTTTCGGATTTTTTTATGTGAAATAACTGAGTAACTACTGAACCGATTTAAAAATTCTTTCACAATTAAAAAGGTAAAGTCTATGCTGAACAGATATCGATGTTTGTCACAGATGTAGAGGGCAGTCTGTAACACGTAGCATTTTTTTATACTGCGGTTTAAAGTCGGAAGCTACTCACTATGACAGCCCCTGGGTCCGCAGGTCTTCAGCGCATTGGTGATGGTGATCATCATGGTGTCGAGGTTGAGCTGGTGTCCGAGGTAGTCTCCGCGGTCGCGCGGCCTGTTCTTCACGAAGGGCTCGAACAGATCCTCGTCCAAGTTGTCGACGGCCGCTTGTCGGATACTCTCGTCCTTTAGTTCCAGTAGACGAACTAATGTGCTTTTATCCGCTGTAAGCAGTATGAAATGTAAGGGTAGTTTCATACTAGCGTAAAGTTGTCGAAAGCACTTCAACGCGATTTTTTTGAAATCCCAGAACAGCATTAGAGTATGGAGATGAGGGGGAATTTATGTGTATTATTAAATTGTATTCTTTTTATTTTATTCCATATCCGAAACCAGGATCTGCAGCTTGTTAAAAAAAAGTATTAGGGACTACTAGTAAAAGCGTTGATAACAATGAGTTAATTTTAATAATGATTTGTGGAATTTTCGTGAAATTTAAATAGAAAAACTGCATGATGTCTGTTTCACACTTGTCAATACAGTTAGACAGTGTGATCCAGGCATAGATGGCATCACTGGCAGTAAACTTTATACCAGTCACTATCCACCACTGTCTAGCTGTACTGGCTAAGTGTGTACCAAGCCTTAAATTACCTGGTTCAGCATAAGAGGGACATTTAACGTTGGTGACGTGACAGTTAGTGCCCTCTCTATCGCACACCATGTTCACGCCCGGCTCCAGCTGCGTGCACACATCGGCACTGGAACCGTAATCTATAACAAAAATAAAAAATCTTAATTATATTTATATACATGTAAAGAAATTAACATTTTATTTTATTACTTAGTTTAAAAACGGTTTCTAAACGATTGTCTATGGGTTGAATAAATGTTGTCTATTATTTTAGGAGCCACCTTAGAGGAATGGCATATTATAAAAAACGATAAAATAGAAACTTAAATGTTGTTTCTTTGTTTTCAGGTTAGTAGTGTTATTTAGCATTATTGTATTTAGTTGATAAGGTATTTTGATAAAAATTTAAAAACTTTTTTTTCAGAGCAACACGTTTAATCATTTAAAACCCAATAATTACAAAAAAAGTTAATATATACACATGATCATATCTATAATATTATAATAAAGCGCAAACACATTAAAATGCTCAACTAACAACAAAGATCTTTTCTATAGTCTGAGAATTGGAGTAACCTTAGCAACTGTGATTATTTTTGCTATTGACTTGTAGTTTCGGTCCCTTTGTAACATGGCGATTATTTTCCGATTTACTCAATATTTTTATTTAAAAAATAATGGACTCTCGCCAACTCTCTGTAGTGACGCAAGGAAGTTGATAAATAATTATTGCAAATTATGATTTGACATCCTGCACAAAAAAGGTGTTTACGTCTTATTATTATTATCGACCAATGGATAGATATCTAGATTTTTCTATAATATAGGCGACAAACGAGCAAGCAACCACTTGAATCAACCGAAATGGCAAAGCGACCGCTGCTCATAGACATCCACAATAGCAGATGCGTTGCCTACTCTTAATTAACAAAAGAGATGCAAATAAACAGGATATTTCCCCATCTGTATCTCCTCCGCTGTCAAATCCTTCCCATTATTTCCTTTTAAGAAAAGGGTAGAAAGGAAAAGGACTAAAATTAGGCCTCGGGCACCACACTCATCAGACTGTACGTGGAATTGCTTCCACTTCACGCCTGTTTTCTGGTCGTGGTATTGCGGAGGGCGAGCCGGCCAATTCGTGCAAAGATGTCTCTACCACTGTCAAAATCTAGGTAAAAAATTTGATAACTGTGGTTTTTTGTGAACACATACCGAAATCAGGTAAATGATTTTCCAGTTTGAGCAGACAGCTCCAGGTGTGCAGCAGGCGGCGCGCCAGCCCGCCCTGGAACTGCCCCTGCACGCGCACCACCTGCTTCAGGTGGAACATCTGCGTGTGCCGGTGCTTCTTCAGCATGTTCAGTTCTGACAGAATGAAGTTTGTCGCCGGCTGGAATACCAAAACAATCACAATCTTACTAATTTGTACGGATGTTAGTTTTTAGCCTAAACTATTGAATGGTACTCGATAATTTGGCGACGACGACATTTGGCATAGATGTAGAGGATAGTCTGAAAGAAAACATAGGCTAAAAATTTTTGTTTTTTTTTTAGTACGAGGACGGAGTCACAGGAGAAAGTAGCGACAGTAGTAAATAAAATATGAAATAAACCACAAAAAAATCAAACAAAATTAATATTTTTTTTCAAATTACTGACGATATTGAACTTAACCGTTAAATTAATGATTTTTTCTTTTTAAATACCATAAATTGAAACGGGTGGTAAATTAAAATAAAAAGGAAGAAAAGATAAAAAAAAAGTGTTTCGAAATCGTCTACTGTGAGTACTAAGAAATTAGTTATGTTTGCATTTAGGGGATAAAGGACGTTTTACTCAAAATTGCATATAACTTACTTCATACAAGCTAAGTCTGAATGCCTCTTCAGCGGCTGTCAGAGCTTCTTCGAAGTATCCCATCTCCAAGCAGACGGAGGCCAAGGAGACCAGCACTATGTCCTTATACCGCACCGGGACAGTCTTGTTGGCTGTCAGCAGGCAGTGCAGCGCGTTCACATTGTTGTCTCGAGCACGCCAGTACAGTGACGATAATGTGTACAGAATCCATTTAGGTGCCAGACTCTGGAAAAGGCATGTACCACATTAACGCAAAAGCGAAGCGAAATAACAAGTATGGAAACTGCCTTTAAATGTAATGTAGTCGGCATACAACGGTTTCTTACAAAGAACTTTGTTCTGATAAAATACAATATGAAGACTATTGCTGTCTGTTTTTTTTTAGCTAGATTGAAACGGACGGCAATATTGTATCAGTATATAGCGGGATTCGAACCCAGGACCTGTAGTTAAGTAATCAAGTGCTTAATCCCTAGCCATTAACACTCTCAATCTTACTAATTTTTATTTAATACCAGTTTGAATGCATGGATGTTTGCTACTATGTATCTCCAGAATAGTTGGATGGATTAGTTTGAATTTACCTCAGATGTAGAAAATAGTCTGGAAGAGCACATAGATTATTTACTAAGATTGTTATCCGCACAGACAAAATCGCGGGCATATTTTAGTCTTATACGGAATTATTACGGTAAAGTTGTAGTAATGGTACCTTTTGCATAGCTGCATATATCCTGTGGCCGATCTCAGCGTCGTCCATGTGTCTGACCAGCTCGCTGTTCCCGTTGCCCGCGTACTCCAGCAACTTCTGCTTTACATGGTCCGTTTTTATAACTTCACCGACCAGCTGACTCCTGAAAACACGTATACAAGAAATATTTACTCATAGCTAGTCATGAAAATAAGTAAAAAAAAAAAAACATACAGACAAACCTTCTTTTGGGAAGTCGGTCAAAAAGTGACCTATAAAATCGCATTTAATGGCTAACTTCTTATCAGTTAGCTTGGTATGGACATTATGCAGAGAGGTGATAACGTAAATAAAAAAATATTAAAAGAGCCTGTCCCACTACTGGCTGATGGAGGTTCAGATAGCTTAAAAATGACGTCACTGACAAATACGATAACAAAATCGGACAACCCATCACATATTTTACACGTTGTATTGTTCAGATACTAAACAATTTGGTGGAACAGGCCCTCTGAATATGGATAGCTAGAGGTAAAGGAAGACCGAAGAAAATGAATGGATTATGTTTTATATGCTGTGCCAACCCTGTGTAGGGACAAGGGCAGGTTAATGATGATATTTTATCATTTGTAAAGTTAGTAAACAGTGAGGGTTCTTACTTTTTCTTCTGTGTGAATACAGCAGCCTTGTCGTGTGGGCAGGTAGGCGGGTGCCATGGCAGCTCGTATTCCACTGACGCTGGTACACCCAGCTTCTCCGTCAGGAGTGTACCTAACCTGAAATATACATCTTACTTATATAAATGCGAAAGTTTGGATGATTGGTTGTTTGTTGGAGTTTGTAGCCTAAACAGCTAAAGAGATCCTAATGAAATTTTGCATAGATGTAGATAGTCTGAAGGAACGCGTAGGCTACTTGTGTTTTTTACACTCACGCGGACGGAGTAGCGGGCAATAACTAGTTATATAAATAGGATAGCGTCAAAACAAATATAGCAATGGAATAAATTAATAGTGTTAAACAGAACAACAATGATTTTTAAAGTTTTTAGTTGACAGATAGGAAAAGACGATTGGTGTGTGCTTGTGACCTTGACCTTTAAGTTGAATTAAAGTTACAAACACTTTAATTAAAGTAAGAAAAGTTATTTAAATATAATAATAAAGCACTAAAGTGTTTTATTTGATTTTTTGATTTGAGTCAAAATTATTACCACATATATGTTAAATATAAACACACTTTAAAAACAAAAGATTCAAAAAATAAAAGGTAAATTTTCACACTTACAATAGTCCCTTGTTTTCAAACGGCAAAAATACAGGATATATAGCTTCTACGTTCTGTGGAAAATTAGGTTCCTGTTCTTTACAGAAAGCTTTAGACGGCCATTCTGGTTCACTGTCGAAATCTTCAGAGTTCCGATTTATTTTCATTGTCGCTGGGAACCTGGAAAAACATATTGAATGAAGAACTATCAGAAATACTAAAGAATTGATTCTTATAATAGTTAGTAATAATAATAATAGTAAAGAATTTGTAATAATGTGTACAAAAATTGTCCGTAACAAGTAAGTAGAATTTCAAAATGTCTTAAAAGAATTTGGAAAAGTCATACTAAAAGTTCTTATAGATTATAACTATGCCAATTTTTAATATCAAAGTATAGAATTTCTGTTTAAAGTATCACACAATTTAATTTATTTCGTAGCAAATGTCTTTACAAATCACTTACAACTGCACTCCAACTTCAAACACTTTCAAGTCATCTTCAACATTACTTGTTTTTTTATCAAACTTTGTATCTTGTTTTGCATCTGTGTTTGCCTTACCTGGATAGTATTAAATAAGTATAAATAGATATTGTAAAATACATAGTAATTAAGTGAATTTAACGGTGGAGGAGATGCATAGGAAGGGGCAATATCCTCTTTATGTGCGTCTCCTCCTACGTCGGATAAAGGTAGGCAACGCATCTGCGATCGCGGATGTCTATGGGCAGCGGTTGCTTCGCCATTTTGGCGGATTCAGGTGGCCGCTTGCTCGTTTGCCACCTTATGTTATAAAAAAAAAAATCTAAATAACCTTTTCATGGCTTTTGAAAACAATATAATCATTTATTACATGACATGCCATGCAAATCTCGAATAACTTATCTTAATATAAATATACATATAGTTTAACAAATGTCTGCATTTTTACTTTACAAAGATTATTTTACTGTTACACAGTTAATATAAAAAAATTTATGACATTAATAATTTTATCTACAGTACAGAACTAATAATTTACAACAATGTAGGTCGGACTGTACTATATATATTATGTAACCTATAATTATGACATTCTATTGAAAGTAGAACAAGTTATCAAAACCCAGACATATTCTAAAAATCATACCAATATTATAAATGCTAACGTTTAGATGGATGGATGTTTGTTAGAGCTTGTAGCCTAAACGGCTGAATGGATTTCGATGAAATTTAGTATAGATGTAGTGATAGTCTGGAAGAAAAAATTGGCTACTCACTTTTGTGTTTTTTAATTACATGCGGACCGAGTCGCGGGCGAAAGCTAGTTTACTATAAATAAAGATAACCATTTACTTACTTGGTATCTCTGGTGTTGAAGGCATCAAATGTTCCTTAAATGCTTTATGTTCCGCAGACCGCAGTAAATCAGACTGGGCCATTAGTTCTGAAGCTAAACTGGAATGCTTGTCGATATGTCTGGCCAGTCTTTGCAGACTATAAGCCGCTTCGATCGCATGTAAACTGGTTTTATCTGACCACAGGTCATTGTATATTGGTCCATCAAGAAAGTACTTGATAAGTGAATTCCTATCACCCTTAACTTTAAGGGATTTAATATCTAGACCGATTAATTCCGACATTTTCTCACAGTTTTTCACGACACTCATATAATCTGCAATTTTAATATAAATATTTTAATTTCCAGACATTTATAACAAATACTATGAAAAAAAATTAAGAAAACATCTTACCATGTCCCTGGTCCAGTTTCATTGCCTTTAGTACTGATGTTTGTAATTTCAGTAATTGACCCTCTTTCTGAGTGTATATTATTAGTTCATCACGCAATTGATTTAATGCTCTTTAAAAAAAATATTAAGAAAATAAGGAATCTCCATAACAATAATGAATATTAATCTTACTAATATTATAAATGCGAAAGTTTCTTAGAGTTTAGCCTAAACGGCTGAACAGATCTCGATGAAATTTATCCTGCAATACATCTATATGTAGAGTATGGTCTGGAAGAACACATAAGCTACTTATTTTTTTAATTCTACGCGGACGAAGTCGTGGACGAAAGCTAGTAATTAATATTTTTCACCTCTATTCTTGTTTTTACTCAAACCACATTTAAAAGTATTTTATCAAAGAATTACCAAATTACAGTATGTTATATAGTCACTTCCAAAACAATCAAAACATCTCATTAAAATAGATAATAATAATTACTTACACTTTTACCACTAACAATTTCTTCCATATATTTGCTAGACAATTTGCACCATGTCTATGTTTAGTAGCAATTTTGAATGAAGGATTCAATTTCAGACAATCATTCAAATGTTTATTTGTATTATTAAATTCGCAAAGCACCGCATAAGCGTTTGCTAGATGAAAATGATTTAAATATGAGTTTGGATTGTGGTCTACCGCTGCATTTAACACAATCACTGCATCTTCTGTCATTTTACTAACATGTAGTATCGTTCCCAGTCCTAATAATGCTAAATCTTTAAATTCTCTGGAAATAAGATGTAATTAATTATTATTAAGTCAACATATAAAAAACAATAAAGTGATGAACTAAAAAATAAACCACCAATTCAAATTTACTTATTACAATTTATTTTAAGTTAATAACTTAAATTTGACTATGGCCTAGTCACCACTATACTCCGAAACCCTCAGTGGGGACATATGTATGTCCCTATATTTCATTCTTTAATTTTATTATATTAATTTAATTTCAATTAAATTTATTGAAATTTAATTTATGTGCAACAAAATGGTTACTAATATCACCTTATTTTATCATTTCTCAACAATGGACACTGTCTCCACTTCTGTGTATTCTTGTTTATTATAAGAACAATGGGTAATTTAAAAAACAAAAAAAAAACATTTTAAGTTGATATTTGAGCTAGTTAACCTTGGTGCATAATGTATAGCCCGGCGACTGCACTCAATTGCCTTAGGAGCTTTACCTCTCAGTCGCCAATACATTGAAGCCAAGTTATAATGCAGCCATGAAGTGTTGTTCTTCTTAAGAATATGAGTCACCCAGTTACCAAACTGATCTAGAGTCATTATTGGTGCCAACTTCTCAGGTAGACGAACCTCCTCTGGTATAGTCAAATTATCTCTTTGTATCATGCCCTAAAAAATTGTTCTAATATTATACATGTGAAAGTTAACATGAACAGATGGATGGATGTTTGTTAGTTTGTAGCCTAAACAGCTGAATAGATCTCAATGAAATTTGGCATAGACATAGAAGATAGTCTGGAAGAACACATAGGCTACTCACTTTTGTTTTTTTTTAATTCCATGCATGCGGAGTCGCAGGTGAAAGCCAGTTATTTATTTGATTAATAGAGAAAACAGATTAGCTATAGATTGAGATTTTCATTTAGCAAAAGGTACATTCACAGATATGTGCTCTACCTTGGTATATAGTCCTATGAATTGTGCTGTAGAACAATTCATACTTTCATAAGAAAACATATAAAATTCAGAATATAACTTTAATTTAGCAAAGACTAATTGTTGGTATGTAATAGTTTATCAGGGGGAAAAGACCTAGCGGAGAGACCTATGTGCTGGTCTGACCAAATAATCACCACCCTCAAGACAATTCATAGTGCCCGAATCACCACATTACAGAGAATCACACAGACTGGAGATGTACTATTCAAGACATTATCAATGAGATGTTGTGAATCTCAGGAATATGGAAACTATGCTGAGTTAGTTAATTAAAGCTTACCTCCAAATGTTCAAATGTAGACATACTGAAAATTAATGATGATATTTTCTTGCAGTCTGGGACATGTAGATCCATTGTAAAGAGAGGACGTGAAACTTGGTACACATTGTCTGGTATATCCCGAGAACTACCATCATCAGAATATGCTACATACCAGTCCAAGAGTTTAAGCTGACCGGCTTGCAAGCAATTTCTATCAGAGATAACTATCATACCAATATCAGTGTTTTTGTCCACATCGTTCCACAATTTGTCAATTATTATTTGCCTTTTTGACAAATCATTAAAAATATCTATAATTTCATTCCAATATGATTCTTGGTCTATGAAAGCTAATAGATCGTATGGTCGAGCCAATTCAAATGGAGAATCAACCTGCGAGTGGTAAAAAAAAAATAGCATAAATTAAAATCCATAATATATTGAAAAAACATCAAAATATATTACATAGTGTAATACCTTTGGCTGTATTAAGCCACTTTCAGTGACCATCCAATGTGTATTTGCCTGTATACCATCAAGGCGGCATACAATGAAAATAAAAATAAGCATGATGCCTTTCATTTGTTCTTCTCAGTTAAAGATAATGCGGTATACTAGCATTCTATTTAATACAGCCGGCTGATAACATAAAACTGGCACTTTTTTATCACACAATACGTACGGACAATTATAGTGGAGGTCCAGAACTGACAGAACAAAGACAAAATTGTACTTTGGTTGTCAAAATACAAAACATCAATAAAGTTAAAGACAGATTATATATTTTTATTTATATTAGTTTTAAAAAATTTATGAGGGGGTGAAAAGTATATCACCCCATCCTAGATTTTTTAATAGGAATAAAGTGTTATGTTCTGACTTGTGTACGGTTCTTGAGACAAAACAGTAAATAAAAAGTATGCAGCAAGTGGAATTTAAAAGCACAAGAGTCTCTATTGAATTACTTTTCATGTTGTAGCAAACTAAATAATAAATTATATTAAGGCGGTCCTCATACAATTGATTTTACATGGGGTAGTCTAGCAAAGTATTTTGTAGTTGAAGAATCTGGCCAAGAGAATATCAATTTAATGGCTATTAAATAATTGTGAGAGTTACCATGAGAACCAAAGACATTTGTTTAAAAGGGAAAATAAAATAATTGTTGAGTTACAAGTACTGCAGCTTTCTGCTTGGTCCAACCTACTTTGTTGGCTTTAGTCGCCTTATTTTCAGATCTTCAATGCGCAGGTGCAAATAACCTCAGTCAATCCGCGTCATGGGTCATCCATACGCTCTTTTCTTCTTTAATTGTAAAACCAAGAATTCGCTTTAAAGCGCTGTGCAATAATTACATATTAGAAAAAATAATGTTTAAAGTCAATGTTGTGATCATGGACACAAAGTGTAACATGTGAAATTCCTGTACTTAAAATGAGTCCAATTACGGTGTTCAGCGTTGAAAGAACGAAATAATTAATAATATGTAAAGCTATTTCGTTAATATTAAAAAATGGAAAATGACGCACAAACACAATCGCCACAAAATCTAAACATTGATCATACTAATGAAAAATTAAATGTGAATCGAACTATTAAAATTTTGGAATATAAGGTGACAAAACCGAATGCAGTGTTTAATGCCAGTGTTTTATAAATTAATTATTAAAGATGAATTATTTACTTTTAGGGTTTGCTTTGGACATGTGCTCTGCGAGAAGTATGTTTAATTGCGCTTTGGCTCCCGCTCGGCGCATTAGTATTTTGTTACGTGACTGCATCTATATTTCAAGCAGATGATATACATGAAACGCACTGTAGAGTAAGTTACTTCATCTCTCTTATTTAATTTTACTCAATTCTTATCTCTATATTTCTTCTCTGCCGATTTTATTGTTTCCAAATTTAAATTCCAGGTTTATAATGTAGTGCCGTCGATTAGCGCAATAACTGGTATCAGTCCACAGAGATATGTTTGGAGGATATGTATCGCCTACCATTTAGGACCAAGACTCTTAATAGGATCGTTGTATTACAACTATCATAAAGAACGAACTTCGCATATCAAGGATGAAAAGGTATTTGTAATTCATACTTCGATCATAAACGTAACGTATGACTCAAATAAAATTTTAAAATAGTTACTCCATGAAAATTAATTATTAAAAAATATGATATCACCTGAATTGAACCTTAGCATTTCATCTATCATAAACAGTTGACAACTGAACACTCATTGCTGGTGGGTTTGTTGTATAATACAAATACACATTTATTTTTTGTTTTCAGGTCCGAAAACAAGCAACTAAACTAGGCGATGCCTGTTACTGGCTCAATTTATTAGAACTATTTGCACTTACAGGAGTGACGTACGTTTCGAATAGAGAAAATTATTGTAAGTACAAAATTTTTGTAATTATAAATGCGTATGCAACTTACAGACTAGAAATTGAAGGTCTTAAAAGCAATCCTTTGTTTTCCAGTTGTTCATGAAAAAATATTTATAGTATTTATGGTCGCCTCCCTTCTGCATATGCTGTGTCGCGCAAGGGTGGGCAATATCGGCAGTGAGGCGGTGGAACCCATCAGGACCAACAAGCTGGTTTGGATACTCTTCTACCTGGCAATTGCAGCCACCATTGGACTTATTATATTCTTCCTACGCCATCGTTTGCTTTGTCGTCCTTTGGGTAAGATAATCTTATACTTAAATTAATATTCATATGGGCATAGTGTTCTCAAATTAGAATTCTCAAAATTGGTGTAACTAACCGTACTTTGATACAGTGCGCTGGACTGGAAACTGGCGCTAGTGACGCTAAAAACCGGTACCTTTGGTTGTGGTACTACTATACCAGTCTTAAAATTGTTATTTAAAGTGTTATGTGATAAAAAATAATACGCTTTTTATTTATTTCAGCTTTCACCTGGTTTTCTATATGCGAATACATTTTAGCGACAACAAATATGGCATTTCATGCAATCGTAGTGCGCGATCTGCCTCTTCATCAAATCCAAGTCTTGTGCCCGGACCGAAAAAAAGATAATTAAATCATTGTCTATGCGCGGAATGTTAACTTGCCTATTAATGAAAAAATTATGACATTAAAAACGGCGGGAAAATCATACAAGTGCTGTGCAAGTGCATGGATTTGCCAAATAAATAATTAAAAATACATCAATGCATTCTATTTAAGGAGTTAATTAAGTATTGTAGATAAATAGAAATATACAAAAAATGTTTATAATATATTGCCGTTATGTTTGATGTTCACAGCAGCACAGAATATTTTAGAGCACACAATTGAAAATGGCGCGCAATTAAACGGTTTTAATTATTTCTTACTATTGTTGATTATTAAATATTAAATAGGAAGAAATAGCTGTTACATTAGTTTGTATTTTGTATTTTTTTGTATTAATTAGATGCGATCTCTTTAATACTTATAGATGATAGTAATTTGTAATATTAAAAATTAGTAAATTAATTATGAATCCATATATTGTAGAATCTTAATTAAGTCGAAAACGTGTCAATGGATACAGTATTATAGAAGTACAATTTAAATAATACTGCCTTAAATGAAATCGAAATTGATAATTACAAAATGTTTTAAATATTATGAAATAGAGGAGTTGGAGACGGACCAAAAATTTTAATGGCATTATTATATTTAATTACTTGTAAAATATGGAAACATATCTTTTGAAATTTTAAAAATTAAGACGAATGTTTTTAAATATTCTTTTAACGTTCAAGCGAATGTTTCTATCGATAGCCAGCTACTGCTGTAGTGTTTCTACTTTTTCTAATATTCCTACAAGTATTATACATGCGTACAAACTTGGATGAAAACAACAAACTTTTGCTAACAACAGTGTATAAATAATTTACAGGGTCACATTTTGAAACAACACTTGTGATTAAAATAAATAAAAATAAACAGAAAAATCAATATTAGCACCACAGACTATAAAAAAGTTTATCGCGATTCTAGCGCTCGGCGCGGATTTTAGTGAAATATGTACAGAAAAAATATTTTGCGTAGGCTTGCGAAATGCGACCTTGATCAACGAATAATAAAATAATTATACCGAAAAAGTGTGGTGATGCATATTTATGGCGAAACATAAGCCAAAGTTGACTTCCATAACATCAATCAACGACTGTCAGTTAGTAGTTAAAACACGCGTTTAAAACAGTAGTATAGTAAGATTTTTTGTTGTAGCTATCTATAGTAGTTATTTAAAACTTAATATTTCATCTTAAGACACATTACAGTTTCCAATAAGATATTTAGGATTTCATATAAGTTAAAGATGAAGAACTTCATCGCACAACATTTTTGTTTCAACTTAGATACATTTAGTAATATTGATAAAAGTTAGAGTGTTGTTTAACTATGGTACAATCTAGTTGACAAATAAAATAAATATAAAAAAACATTGGTTTATCAAGTTTTAAATAAAATAAAAACAAAGAAAAAAAAGTCCTGTGAAAATTAGCAATAATGTGATACTAAAAGAAATTTAACTATTGCTTTACTGTCTTTATCTGTTTGTATAACAATCATTGTATTGATCATAGACATTTATTTTACCAAAACTGTTTTATTTGAATTACGTAATTAAATTTTGGCTCGCGATTGATATACATTCGTAGGAAGATAATACTTTCGAACAATGTTATTGTTGCTATATACACGTAACATATACGTAAATAAATAATAAGAGCGAAGATAATTAATATTTTCGATGTTGAAAGCCGATATACCCCTAAACTTTAGTAATACCTGTGTTTTTCCAAGAAATTAAATTCTGCTTATATTGATTTGTTGATTTTATTTGACCTTTAAAATGTTTATAGTTGTTTAACTCCTTTAAAAATGACTGATTCATGATTTCAAGCATTTCCAAGTCTAAGGCCCTTTTCCACCACTGGCTGATCGAGGCTCAAATAGCTTAAAAATGACGTCACTTTCACATAAGGTGACAAAATCTGATATTTCCATCATACACGTTGGTTTGTTATCAGACAATTTACAATTTGGTGGGACGGGCCCTAAGTAATTTAAAACTCTAGCACCATCTATATTCGAAAAACTAAAATACAAGATTCAATCAAGATGTCACATGTGTAAGAAGTATTTGGTTAATAAAAGATCTATTCCTTTTCAACAAAAAAATTAATTACAAATTAAATCATAAGTAACAAAAAGTATTATTGAAATAAGTATTATAATTACCCACGGAATAATTTAAAGAGCGCCATCTGTTGTGCAAAGTGAGAACTAACACATCTTCTATTGCCAGATGGCGTGAGTGAACTCAACGGTTTGAAATAGAAAAGCTTTCTATCTCTGTCTTAACTAAGATGGCGGCGAACGGCAGCTACGCAGGTAAAATTTGTGCATGTGTTGGTGTATATGTGCACGGAATTTCACGTTTGACCACTCCGGCCGCGCACACAGGCACAGAAAACCGGGTGCGTGCGGGGCGCGGGGAGCAACGTCCGTGAAGTTGTGTCAGCATATGCGCAAACGAGGTGCGCATTCGTCGCGTGCGTTGTCGGGATTCTTTGTGCCATTCTTCGCATACCAATAAGAGTATATTCTTTATATTTACTCTTAATTTAACATATTTTCAAAATTCGGCCCTTCACTACATCTTCAAACTCCGTAATAGGTGAGTAAAAAATAATTTTACAGTGATTTTCATACAGTTAACTCGAGATTTTGGTGATTTTTATTCGGGAATGTCAACAATGCGATCGCAATCCTGCAATATTTTACATAGTTGTCGCGTTTGCTTCGCTTCGACTTCCGGTCGTTCGGGTGTCGGCATTTCGCGATGTAAACATTATCTAGTTTTGGGAGCGGGACATTCGGGAAAGGTGTTAGGGCATGAAGTGTGCTCGAGTGTTTTTGTGTTGTTGAATTCGCTCGAGTGTGCCTACTGAGATGGCGCAATTTTCGAAAGACGCGGTATGGTATGGTTCGCCCGCGTTACACTTCAGTCGCGTTGGTGGCTGTATGCGATTTGACGTATTCCGTGCCGTGCGCGGTGATGACACTTGTCAACTTATTTTATGAAATGTCAAACGTTTTACATGCATTGCGCGAGTGAATGATAAACAAATTAACAGTGAAATTGATTTAAATGCAGTGAATTTCTTAACGGTGACATGGACTGTTATTACTCGAAATATTATCCGAGGCGTGAGTACTTCTTAATTCAAAATAAACAAACAAAATTCCTTAAATAACTAATTGAATTCCAAACATTGTACTAAGTTTAGAACAAGTTTAACTATCACTAATCTTATCAAAAAAAGATTAAACGTGGTTTTAAATCCTACTGCCTTGCTTATTAATTAATGTTGTTTTTTTTAAATAAATTAATTTTTAATTATTTCAAGAATTTTTAAATTTTCTTTCAGCTACCAATCCTACAATATTTTTTTATTTAATGTAAAAATAACATTGATATTAAATTGCAATTTTTCTAAATTATTGATAAAATAAAATTTAAGAATTCGAATTAATAATGTTTTATTATAAAATTGTGTAAAATAAATAAATAAAATGTAACGTTATTAAATTATTTATTTATCAATTTTAACCAAATTATAAATAAAATTATATAGTCATTCTTTTACGTTTTATGAATATCAATTTAAATTAATTTTATTATTTGATTAATATTATTTTAAAGTGCTAATAAAATAATTTATCGACTTTTCGAATTTAGAAGCTCTTAAGGCGTCGTTTACGATAGTGCAAAACAAACGGGACTAAAAGTAGAACGAAATTCGAATTTAAATTATACAAAAGTGTCTTTTTTATTATAAAAAGTATAGTATATTAAAATTATTAGTGATTACGTTAATAATGATAATTTAAATTGTTTACAGGAAAACACTTTGCGAGTTTGTTGAAACATTAAAGTCTTTCATTTCTATAAAATCTCATTTTATCGTTTGACGTAGTTAGTTGACGGCAAGTTGACGGGCAATAATTTCTAATTCTCAGTTGACGTATTCGGACTAAAGTAGTGACGTTTTATAATGAACATTTTAAATTTGTTACCTCGATAATAGATATATTTATGCAATTTTCACTAATAATTAGGAATTACTAATGTCTATTAAAGTGATAGTACAACTATAAATATCTTAATCATTTTTAATTATAAATGTAAGTATAATTCAAAGGACAAATTAATAGTAACATTATGATTATGAGACACTATCGCGAGAAACCATACTAATTGATGTTAACTAATTGATGAAATATTATAAAAATGCTTTATTTGAGAAAAAAAGAGTGATCTAATAATCGTAAAAAATAAATTTAGTTTTCCCGCCAAATTTTCTTCATAGAAAACTTCTCATCAAAAACATCGAAGATGATCTTCATTGTAAAACTTATATATTATCATTAAACATTTGCAAATTAAATACATATGTATTTAATAAAAACTCCCTTATGGTTCAGTTTTTGCAACAAACGTTAAGTGTACTAGAAAGTCTAGAACATTCGACGGTAGACCATAATTCTAGAGGCAAATTATATATACATTGTCGACCTATGATTTTGTAATGTGTTCCACTAGTCACTACTACCACAGCTCTTGTGTTTTAACTAGCTGTTGCTTGCGAAAAATATAAATAATAAAAAATATGGCCTATGTTACTCAATGAAAACGTAAGTTTTTAATAGTGGAATAATTCCAAAAATTGGGCCAGTATTTTTTGAGTTATATCGACACATAAAAATACAAATCTTTCCTCTTTATAATATCAGTATAGGTATATTTTTTCTAATAATTTAATCAATTTAATGCAATATTAAAACGTAAAGGAAAACTATGGTTTCAAGTTGAATATTGTCGTCAGCGAGTCACCGATCTCTCGGAAGATGTATCAGTGGTCTCTAGCGGCTGCCAAGAGTTATTTTGGTCAAAACAAGTTGATGTTTTTATTGCGACGCCGCGACAACGAAGAAGATGTGTTAACTAACACTTTGGCCCTAACTCGTAGCCTATCTAGATTTATAGATGTAATTGTTTTATTAAGAAAGAGGATTGAGGAGAGAGAGGATGAGGATTAAGAAATTAGCTGTAATTCTTTTATTAAGAAAACAACGGGTTATCCTCATGTTAAATACTGAAGTTTTCATGTATTTTATCATTGTCTAATGATTCATTTGTGTTAGGTTGACCTAAGGTTAAGAGTATGACTCAAGTTGCGTAGTTCGGAAAGTTTTTGAATAGAAAACAATAACGAATGGTTAAATGTAGCCGGGAAACCGGGTATAAGTAAACTTAATGATATAATTAGAAGTTTGGAAATAATATGAGTTCAATTATTTAACAGGTAATCTTACTTCATACTAATATTATAAATGCGAAAGTTTAGATCGATAGATATATGTTTGTTTGAGTTTTTAGCTTAAACGGCTGAACGGATTTCGACGAAATTTGGTATGGATGCAGACGATAGTCCGGAAGAACACATAGGCTACTTACTTTTGTTTTTTTTTCCACGCGAAGTCGCTGGCGAAAGCTAGTAAGATATAATTCAATGTCATAAATTTAATTGATAATTTAAACTCATTTTATTGCGATAAGAAATTATTTTTATTAACAGTTAAAAAGTGGTAAAAATAAGTGCGTAATATAGTTTTATGCATAGTCCAAGCCTACGTATATATTCGCAAACATTAGAAACCAGTACAGTCGGTAAACACAGCTTAGTGATCTTATTATTCCGTTAAATGAACAGCGATTGTTGCAACAC